CCATTTTCACCTGGTTGAAGTGAGGAAAATTCGTGTAAAGTGCCTTTCCCAAGGACACAACGTCGGGCCCGCGGCCCGATCCCACGAACCCACAACCTCACGATTACGAGTCCGGTAGCCTAACCACTAGGCCACCGACGCCACTAATATGGCAATCCCCTAATGTAGATCTAGCCATAAATATACTGTTCGTGAGTGGGCACGTTGGAGGCTGAAATATTGTGACCTACTGTTTAAAAAAAAAGTTGTTTCCGCATCCGATCCGGACATTGAGGATTGCCTTGTTAGTGAAACAACTTCCTGGGCCTTCTGCATATTGTGGTACGTTATTACTTGGAACATCAAACAAAGATTTTACACTACTAACCTTCTGTCACGTGCCACTATAACAGGAATTAGCCAAACATGTTCCTCTGCTCTGTGTTGTGATTCCTTCCGCAGCTTTGGGGCCCCGATGCGTTGGATTAGAATCTCACACTTCACGCACAACTGAACCGAGGCTCTAACTAGCCTTTTTCACAACCTATACTGTCAGAAGGCCTCCTCTGCCTTGGTACAACTCTCTTCTCTCCCAAGTCCCACCAGTAGTCACTCAGACTTTTATCAACTTGCAAACAATACAACTGAACACAGACTCACACTTTACTCACTCTCACACTTTCAGCCAAACAATACAATAGGCTAGGCCTAACCCCCTGCCAAAACCAAAATCAACCAAATACACCACATGGTAGGGTGGCCAGTTCTTTTCCACGCTGCCTTTACTTCCCCAACTCAAAGTCAGGTCCCCATCATTACTGCTGGGTGGGCAGAAGGGGGCGAAAAAAATCCGTTTCCGAACCGAGGCTCGAACCCGGCCGGACTTTCCGCTTCGGAGACGAGCGCAGTAACCACTGTGTCACGCACCCTCCTTCTGTATAATTATTTAAATGATGTCGTGAAGATCCTTGTCACCACACTTGAAGATGAGGAGATTGAGCATGACTATGCGCCAATCTTATGACTTGAAGAACTGGGTGTCTTCAGAGGAAGTGACAGAACCAGCATGGTGCAGGGGATGGAAAGACGGCCTAGTAACCAATTGAACACCGGGACAATCAGCTGGCGGACTTTGAGGTGGATATTGGAGCGGGGAGCGGGGCACGTATGGCATTGTCCCTAGTGCTAGGATGTTGTTGTCAGGGTCAAGTAAAGTAAAGTAAAAATCTATAATGCTGATATTTCATTTGTTCATTTATTTACTTATTTATTCATTCATTTATTTATGTATTTATTGGGAGGGAGGGGGGGGGGGGGTGTAATGTGTTCTGTGATTATCGATCGATTAAAACTTCATTGCGTTTTAGCCAATCGATGCCAAAGCTATTTTTTTAAAACCTGGGCAGAAAAGAACAGGTAGAAAATTTAATTTGAGATTCAGGAAAAAATCGCAGTAGAGATGTAAGACTGGGTAGGCCTTTTAGAAAAGCTTGGCAAACAGCTATTCCTTTCAAGCTAGGGCGTGTCAAAATGTTCAAGAATATTTTCTAAATAATAATATTATGCATTTTCTTTATTTTATTGTTTGGTTCCTACATTTTTTTGAAAAAGGAAACATCAAGTTTGAAAAATCCCAGTGTTTTTTTTTCTTCTCGCCAACAATTACACAACATAAAATCCCTGAAATAACGCTGGAAACCTTCTTCACAGTGGGTACCGCAAAAATTTTATAACGCCCATTATCGAGAATGTCTGCAAATTGAACCGCACAACCCTTCTGACCTACAAACCCCTAAAGCCCAAGCAGAAAAGACCATTTTTCGTCACAACTCATCACCAAAAACTACATAATGTACATAAAATCTACAGCCAACACAGAAGCATCTTGGAAAGATCAGACAAAAGGAAAGCCTGTTTCCCCAACCGCTCTCTGATTGCACTTCGTCAGCCCCCCAATCTTGGCAACCCTCATTCGCACTAGAGCAGTAACACCCACGTCCTCACCTCCTATAAACCCATATGTTCCCCCCCTCAAAATTATCCTTGTCAAAAACGTAGATGCAAAACATGCGCTTACACGAAAGTGACCTACTTTGTAGGAGGCCCCCACTTTAAAAGAAAACTTTCCCACAGCATCATTTGTGAAACCAAAAATGTAATCTTCCTCATACCTTGTTAAGTCTGTCCAGCTCAATATGTAGGTCAAACTACCACCACACTAAGAGCTAGGTTTAATAACCATAGGTATTCAGTCCAAAAAAACTCCAGCTCACCAGTTGGCCAACATGTGACAGTCCTGGTCACAATGGAGCCTCCGATTTGCAGCTTCAGGGTATTGAAATAGTTCAATATCCAACTAAAGAAAAACTTAACCAAAGAGAGTCAATGTGGATTTGGAACTTGGGGTCTCACAAAATTCTCACTGGCCTTAACACCGACGCTCCCCATTTTAAGGACCTTAAATTTACAACGTAGGCCTAACGTACTAATCACCCCTTGTGTTCCTGTAACCCCCTCCTTTTGGCCCTGCCTTTCTGTTTTATTCCTTACCTCCACGTACTT